GCCAGGGTTTCTCTGTTACAGTCTACCACAAACGGTGCCTTTACTGGTCAGTTGGGGTCCCTACAATTCTACACTATAAGACTGAACTTATTAGAAACCTCATAAATATGGCATGATTCATTTGTTCACCAACTAAACTAGATACCAAAATAGGGTACATCAAGGTTATCTAGTAGGGTTATGGCTAAGCTGGCCAAATCATTTCTCACTGTATATTGTGAAAATTCATGGAAGGCCCTAAAGCAGGAGGTTAATTGTGGTTCTGAGAAAAGCCCAATCTACCTTAGGTTATCCTCGGTAAGTAAGCTAACTTAAAAGTTAGAGCAACAGGTGAAGCTATCTGTTTCATGCTGCTTCTATGCAGAAACTACTTAAGTGGTTTCGGCTTTAACAGAATGGTGCTGTCACGCCAAAAGGACATTCTGCCTATCACATGAATGAGAGATTATGGGTCATGAATTTCAGTGCCAACGTGATGTCAGGTGTGGGGGTTGTTTGCCTATAGATTAACAGATTGTATCAAACAGCATGTCCCTTCAGCTGTTCGCAACAAGAAAGGTGCAGGCAAATGAACATACAAACAAACATGTGAACAATGATCAAGAATAGGCTACTTGGTCCTTGGAGCTCATTCTGCCCTTCAACAGTATCATAACTGATTTAATTTTAATCTCAACTTCACAATTCCTGAATAACCCCAATAATCTTTGATACCCTGGTAGTCAAGAAATTATTTAACCTCTTGTTGTGCCAAACATGACATCAAATGAAACTAATCCCTTCTGCCTGCCCTTGGTCCATATCCCTCCATTCCTTGCATATTCATGTGCTTATCAAAAAGTCCCTTAAATACTCTTATCATATCTGCCTCCACCAGCCCCCCTGGCAGTGCGTTGCAGACCCTTACCACACTGTTTAAAACAACTTGCTCCTCACGTCTCCTTTGAACTTTCCCTCTCTCACCTTGTATTAGACATTTCAACTGTGGGATAAAGATTCTGACCATCAACCCTATCTACGCATCTCATAACTTTATAGACTCGTATCAAATGTCCCCTCAGCCTCCGCCGCTCAAAAGAAAACAACCTGAGATTTTCTAGCCTCTCCTGATAGCTCATACCCTCTACTCCAGGCAGCATCCTGGTAAACCTCTTCTGCACCCTCTCCAAAGCCTCCACATCCTTCCTCTAATGTGGTGACCAGAATTGAACACAATACTCTAAGTGTAGCCTAACCAAAGTTTTTTAAAGCTGCAACACAATTCATGTTCTGCGATTAACCCCTGATTGCAAAACATGTGACATAGTGTCTAACATTAGATGTGACTCTGCAACAGGACAACATTTGTTGGATGATCCTGAATGTGCAAGGAGTTATGCTGACAACCGATTGAGGATTGTCAGTTGAGCTTGCACTATCTATTACATTTTAAAAAAAAATTAACCTATTTTCCTAAGCAACATGTTCAAAGATGTTATTATACACCTCTGGAGCAGGTAAGACTTGAACCCAGGCTTTCCGGCCTAAGGGTGTGGAAACTATAACTGCACCACAAAAGGGCACAACCATGACTAGAAGCTAAAAAGTCACTGTATTCCTACCAGATCATGTAGCTGCACTATCATTACAGGGAGATGACTGGTGGTGGTTTAACATGAGGGTCATCACACCTTAGATGAGGGGAAAAGTTGAGAAGATGAGTTTTTTGTGGGACAACTTAATTATCCATTTATATCCATCACATTAAATAATTCCAGTAAAGCAACATTTTGAAGTGACAAAGGTTTTGAAATAGCAAGTATTGATTCATAATCTTAACTTTAACATAGATTTGGAAGGGCAGACAAGCAGTTTTTGAAAGGTAGGAAATTCCTGCAGTGTGCCCAGAAGGGATTCCTACAACAATATGTCCTGGACGCAACAAGGGGACAAGCAATAGTCATGGATTTAGTCATGGATAATGAGCCAGAATTAATTAGTAACCTAACTGTGTGTGAACATTTATCAAATAGTGATCATACATGATTTAGTTCAATGTAGCGTTTGAAAGCAAAAACCATGGATCAGCTACGAGTGATTTTGATTTAGGGTAAGGCTGATTTTAACAAGATGAGACAGAGACTGTCCACAGTAAACTGGAACAATCTGCTAATGGATAAAACAACTGAAGAACAGTGGATGAGGTTTAAAGAAACAGTACAGAACCAGCTTATACCCCTAACAGGAAAAAGCTTTACTTCACAAAAGACATCAGCCATGGACAATTAAAGGGATAACAAAAAGAAAAGGCATACAAAAAAACAGCACAGATCCTGCTGAATGGGAAACACACAAAGACCAGGAAAGGCCCATGAAGCTGTTTATAAGAACCACTAAAAGGGATTAAGAAAGGAAATTTCCCTTGAACATCAAAATCAATAAGAAGAAATGTTATAGTTATATAAAGGGAAAGCAGTGGTCAGGAGCCATGTTGGCCCACTAAAGGCTGAAAGAGCAGATATTGTCAATGGCTATGGGGAAATGGCAAGCATGTTGAATAATTACTTTGCCTCAATGTTTACAGTGGAAAAGGAGGATAGCTTGCCAGCAGTCCTGAGAAAATTAATAGTAGATTGGGAACAGGGACTGAATAAAATTAATGTAAGTAATAAATGGCAATGAGAAAATTAATGGAATTAAAGAGTGACAAATCCCTGAGACCTGACAGTTTTCATCAGAGCATGTTAAAGGAAGTAGGGGACCACAGGAGTCCTCCCTCTGGATTGGTAGATTGCACTTGTCACTCTGCTTTATAAGGAAGATGAAAGAGGAAAACCAGAGAATTACTGACCAGTTCACCGAATACCTGTGGTGGGGAAATTGTTGGATGCTAGAATCAAGGATGGGGTAACTGAACATTTTGAAAATTTTCAGTTAATCAGAGACAGCCAGCACAGATTAATGGCAGGTAGGTCATACCTAACATTGAATTATTTGAAGAGGTGACTGAGGTGGTGAACAGGGAAATGTCTATGAATGTTGTATATATGGACCTCTACAAGGTATTTGATAAAGTCCCATATAAGAGACTGTTAACTAGGGTAGAAGAATGTGGAATTGAGAGAAAATTATTGACAGGGCTGGGAAATTGGTTGAGTGGCAGGTGACACAAACTGAGACTGATGAGTAGGTAGTCAAATTGCCAAGATGTGACCAGTAGTGTTCCACAAGGATCCATGTTAGGGTCTTAATTACTCATGTTAGTTATTAACGACTTGGATAATGGCATAGAAAGTCATATATCAAAATTTGCTGATGATGCAAAGTTAGGTGGCATTATAGACAGTGTAGATGATAGCATAAAATTGCAAAGGGATATTGATAGACTAAGTGAATGGGCAAAACTGTGGTAGATGGAGTTCATTGTAAGCAAATGTGAGGTTATCCATTTTGGACTGAAAATGAATGTACTTTCTAGATGGTCTGAAGTTAAACACATTGAAAGAGACTTGGGGTGCAGGTGCATAGATTTTTAAAATACAAGTACAGAAAGTAATCAAGGAAGCTACTGGAATGCTGGCCCTTTATATCTAGGGGACTGGAGTATAGGGATGCAGAAGTTATGTTGCAGTTAAACAAAACCCTGGTTAGATCCCACTTGGACTCCTGTGTGCAGATATGAGCACTACATTTTAGGATAGATACGTTGGTCTTGAGGGAGTACAACATAGGTTTATAAGAATGCTACCTAGCCTTCAGGGGTTAAGTTATGAAGAGAGATTATACAAATTAGGCCTGTTTTCTGTAGAAGTTAGATGGTTAAGGGGTGATCTGATCAAAAACTTCAGGAAAAGACAGGGTTGATACAGATAAATTATTTCCACAGATTGTGCATTCTAGAACTAGGGGGCATAGTCTGAGAATTAGGGCCCAACCATTCAGATGACATGTTAGGAAGCACTTTTATAAACAAAGGGTAGTAGATGTTAGGAACTCTCTTCCCCATATGGCAGTGGATGGTCGATCAGTTGTTAACTTTGAACCTGAGAGAGATAAATTTTATTAAACAAAGATATGAAGGGAAATGGGCCAAAGGCAGGCATATGGAGTTAGGCCACAGATCAGCCATGAGCTTATTGAATGGTAGAACAGGCTTGAGGGACAGAATGGACTACTCCTGTTCCTATGTTACTGTGGAAGACAATTGCCCAACTTCCCTCAGTTGGTACAGGAATTGAACCCTTGCTCTTTGCATCACCATGCATTACAAACCAGCCATTCAGTCAACTGAGCTGAGTTACAAACCCCCACAAGGATTACAGTGGAACTATGTACTAAAAGACACAAGACCAGAAATCAGGGAAATCCATGTAGTAAGAATATTGACCGTCAAAAGCTATTAGAAATTTCTAACATGTATGCGTTGATTTCAATTTCTATCCACATGTAAAGTGAACATCTCAATTAATAGGTTTACAGAAAATTTTCTTTCTAAAGCCAACTTTGATTTGGATATAATTTTGAAGCTACGGATATTAAATCAGAAAGAACATGTACACACCCAATGCCTGTTTTAATTCAACAAAATAGCTGACAACTGTTCTCTCATTCACTTCTCAGGACAATGCCCTGACCAATCAGAGTCAAGCTGCCTGGTTTCAAATTTAACAGTGTCTGTCTGTCAACTGACAGTCAGTGTTAATGGTTAATAGTTAAGTTATTCATGGTAATGCCTCTAGCAGTCAGGGCCCACTTGCCAACAAATCAGCATCTTTCCTCTCATGCAGTATAAATGTTCATTTTTTCACCTTGAATTTGTACTCTCGAGAAAAGTCCTGATGAGTACATGACAAAAGCTTTGACAAAATGTCTTTTCACAGGTGTAACAAAATCACTGAAGAACAACCAAGGACATGCCAAAGAATATCTTTATGTTTCATTCACAACATTGCCATTTAAAAGCTCTGAGTAGTTCTCACTTATGGATCAAGGTACATCCATGCCTTAACTTCTGTACTAACCTCACATTGAGGGGGATCATGCATGTCTGGCTGCATATTCAAAAATTGCAGATGAACTTCCACTGAGGAGGAAAAAAAGAAATATGTTAATTACACTGCAATTTATAATTTATATTTTAAATTAGAAGATAACCAATATAATTTGTGGCTATTTGCAGTTTCTGCTCCTTCTGAAGGAACTTGGGCAGTTTCCTTTTACAGGGATTACTGTTGTTTATTAGAATAGTTTAAAGCAAATGCAAATTTGTTCATCAATACTTGCCATTTCAACATCTTTATCACTTCAGAATCTTACTTCATGAGAATTGTTTAATGTGATGGATGTGACCCATAATTTAGCTAAATTCACCTACTGGGTGTCAGCCTGATGACCATCTCAGGAACTTTCTGGTCAAAACATACCATGACTAATTTATTGACAAGATTATAAGGGTGCGTTTCTGATAAAGAAAACAATTTTGGTTAACTATAATTTTATTTAGAAAAGCCGAGCTACTGAAAAAACTGCACATCAGGTAAACACAATTTTTTTTTCTTTATTCATTCACAGGATGAGGGCGTCACTGGCAATGCAGCATTTATTGCCCATCCCTAATTGCCCAGAGGACAACCACATTGCTTTGGGTCTGGAGTCACATGTAGGCCAAACCAGCAAGGATGGCAATTTCCTTTCCTAAAGGACATTAGTGAACCAGATGGGTTTTGGTATATATATATATGTAAATTTAAAAATGATATATATAAATATGGTATATAAAATACAAGATACAACCTGTCATGTTTACTATCACTATGTTAACTTTGATGCCACTAAAAACATACATACTTACAAATCACACATAGATAAGTAATATTATTTTCAACACTATACACAAATCAGAAGTGGCTTTAGAAAGAGACAACAAGGTGCAGGGCTGGATGAACACAGCAGGCCAAGCAGCATCATAGGAGCAGAGAGGCTGACGCTTCGGGCCTAGACCCTTCATCAGAAAAGGGGGAGGGGAAGGGGGTTCTGAAATAAATAGGGAGAGAGTGGGAGGCGGATAGAAGAGGGATAGAGGAGAGGATAGGTGGAGAGGAAACAAACAGGTCGAAGAGGCGGGGATGGAGCCAGTAAAGGTGAGTGTAGGTGGGGAGTTAGGAAGGGGATAGATCAGTATATTGTCATGGTTGGGGCCAAATTGGGAAGGCTTGAATGTGGATTGTAGTCCATTGGGGATGATCTGGTTCCGTAGGCAGGTGCTAAGGAAGGTGATGTGGCTGTAGTACCTGGTTTGCTTCAGGACGTGGTCGAGCAGTTTCAGGGCCGAAGAGATTACGAGAGAGTTGCAGTGGGAGAGAGATCCCTTGAGGTTTGTCCGGAGGGAGGAGGGTAACTTCTTCAGGCTAGGCATCCTTAGAAGAGGCTTCACAGTGGGGTTAAAAATGAATCAGAGATAGTAGGAACTGCAGATGCTGGAGAATCCGAGACAACAAGGTGCAGGGCTGGATGAACACAGCAGGCCAAGCAGCATCAACTTTTCCCTACCCCTAACAATTGAGATCTTCAATTTATATGTAGTTGGAAGTTGAAATCAACAAATACATTTTAGAAATTTCTAATAGTTTTTGAAGGCCAGTATTCTTACCACTTGGATTTCCCCCATTCTTCGTCTTGGGTCTTTTAGTGCATAGTTTCATTCTAATCCGTGGATTGACATCTGGCTCTCTGGATTTAGAATTGCTGTCATATTGTGCCTGCAAGGAGAGCAGCTGATCCTCCATCTCAACTCGTATAGCACAGTACATATAGGACACCACAACACACTTTTCAGTTAACATATAAACTTAAAAGTGCAACTATGAAATTAAAACAAATTGCAAAACATACTATCTTATTTTAGTTGTATGAATAGCAGTAACTATTAGTTGTCTACTTAATTTTAAAAAACTTCCTTATTTTTAATTGCACTGAGTTCTGTTATGCCAACAGACCCAGAATGTACCTTCTTCCCTTTGCTTGTGCTAAAACATAAAATAAATAAAATACATTTGCTAGTAATTGATTCATAAGTTAAGCAGTTTATGTGATGGACTGTTTTTACTTGAAAGCTTAAATATAATGCATATATGTAAAAAAATTGTTAACACTGACATTTAGTGTCAACTTGATTGCAATTGTGATTCTAAATCTAAAGGTTCCCCACTCTGCACTATTGGCATTCTTGTGTAACCAACAGAAAAGGAATCCCAGCACTAAAATACTGAGGTGTTGGTGGTTTTGAGTGCATCATTACCATAGTTCTGTATGGCTACTCGACAGTAAAAATCTTAGAAAGTTACAACATTAATCACTAAGGTGGGTATACTTAGTTTCCGCTAACATCACATGCTTTTCATTTTGGTTTAATAATTATTTTACATTTTCCTAAAGCAGTTCGTTCATTTAACAAGTGAGAAAGGATGTTTTATAATGTGTGTGCAATGAAGTACACAATCTAGACCTGACATCTGCTGTAGCTTAATAAATGTTGGTGGAGCAGTGGGAGGTGGAATGTGAGCAAGGTAGGTGTTACCTCTTTTACTTTAATTATTCCATGTCTTTGCTAAAATGTGGATGCAGGAATAACAGATAAATACTTTAAGTCCCTGTCAGGTAAGAATAGTTCCTGATCTAATGTCATGTAAGGTTGCACTTGTTTACCTTCACATTTTTCCCATCAGGCATTAGGTATCAACCTAATTGGTTTAAGAAGGCAGCTCATCACCACCTTCTCAAAAGCACTTAAGGATAGGCAACAAATGAATAAACGTATAACAAAAAAAGTGGAAAAGCAAATTAAAACAAATCAGTGTCTAATCTACAGATTTGAAAAGATTGCATTTGTAATACAACGAAGAAACACAGAAAGCTATCACACAGGTGGAGCAGGTAATCAGGAGGGCTAATGGAATGTTGGCCCTTGTTTCAAGGGAGTTGAAGTATTTATTCATTCACAGGATGTGGGCATCACTGGCCAGGCCAGCATTTATTGTCATTGCTAATTGCGTAGAGGGAAGCTAAGTGTTAACCACATTGCTGTGGGAGTGGGCTCACATATAGGTCAGACCAGGTAAGGATTGCAGTTTCCTTCCCTTATTGAACCAGATGGGTTTTCCCCAACAATTAGCAATAGTTTCATAGTCATAATTAATTAGTTCTAGATTTTTATTGAATTCAAATTCCACCATCTGCCATGGCAGGATTTGAACCCTCGTACCCAGAACATTACAACAGTCTTGGGGTTAATAGTTTAGTGATAATACCATTAGGCCTTCATCTTCCCTAAAATTAAGCAAGTAAGTAAGTAGGTAAGTCAATAAGTAAGCACAGGTATCCCCTAAGTATAAGAGTAGGGAAGTCTCACTGCAACTGCACAAGTTGCTGGTGAAACCATATCAGCAGTACCGTAAGCAGTTTTTGTCCCCTTATTTAAGTACAGGTATCGTTTCATTGAAGGCAGTTCAGAGAAGTTCATTAGGATGATCCCTTGCATACAGAGATTGTCTTATGAGCAAAGGCTAAACAGGTTGGGACTCTACTGACTGGAGGTTAGAAAAATGAGAGGTGATCTCATTGAAACATATAGGATTCTTAAGGGGCTTGACAGGGTAAATGCTGAGAGGATGTTTTCCCTTGTGGGAGAGTCTAGGACCAGAGGATATAGTCTCAGAATAAAGGGCACTAATTTAAGCCTGAGATGAGGAGGAATTTCTTCTCTCAGAGGGTTGAGAGACTTTAGAACTCATTGCTGCGGAGAACTATGGGGCAGAGTCCTTGTGTATATTTAAAGCTGAGATAGATAGATTCTTAACCAGTTAATGGAATCAAAGGTTATGGGGAAAATGCAGGAAAGTGGACGTGAGAAATGTCAAATCAGCCGTGATCCTATTGAATGGTGGAACAGGCTCAAAAGGCTGAAAGGCCTACTTCTGTCCTATTTCTTATGGTCTTATAATCTAGTTCCCATTAGGTTTTCCTGCTGCTGTATGTATCTCCGAAGTCTGTGCATGGTAGTAACTTTTGGACCTGAAAGTCAATGCATCTGTTGCCAACTGGAATGCGCAGACCCTTCTAGTGGCTACACAGTCAAGTGGTTTAGAGGGAACATTGCTCATTGTGTCTGCTTCCTTGATTCATTAACAAAGTGATGAAAGCTCTCTTTAACACACAAGTACTAATTTTATATCTTTGAGCTTCAGAGATATTTAACCAATGATATCCATTTATCGTCGACTTTTCTTGATTTCTGGCATGAGCGATCTATGTTTAATATTGAATGGTACTGTTCAAAAATGAAGATAACAGTAATTCCATAGCACTGATATTTTATTCATGACAAAACATGATAACACACCTTAATGTTCAAATTCTTGTACACTTTCTCTTCATTGTCACTCAATTTTAATCCATCTTTAGGGCTCGACACAATCTGTGTCTTATCTTTACTGGATGTTTCAACACTCACCACCTTGGCGACTGCTTCATAAGAGTGTGAACTGTCCCTGGAATTTCCACCTGGTAAATTATTGTGAGTATGTGGCTTTTCTGCTGGCTCTTTGAATCTTGGTTTCTTGGACTCAAATTGTATGGACAGTTCACTTCTGTCAGTGGACCAAGATGGCGTTTTGTTTTTACTGTAATCTGATAAATCCAAAGGTTTCTCCACAGATCTGTCAATCGTTTCCTCAGTCTTTAAACAGAAAAGAGGTGGATTCTTTTCTTCTCTGTTGTGTTTTTGCCTTGTCATGTCTGGCTGCTCTGAAAGATGTCTACTTCTTCTGCAATCTTTAGAAAAGTTATGTACCTCCCTGTAATCAGGATAGGAAAATTGTTATAATGACATCTGGTCAACTAATATCAACATTACATTATTCAGAAAGTATTGTTCAGTTTATCTCCATATTTATATTCCGAGATCAGCTCTTAAGATCTGTGTATTCCAACATTTTAGTCACATAGAATCACAGAATCCCTACAGTGTGAAAGCAGGCCATTCAGCCCATTGAGTCCACACTGACCCTCCGAACAGTACCCCACTCGGACCCATCCCTGCATTTCCCATGGCTAATCCACCTAGCCTGCACATCATGGGACAATATGGGCAATTTAACATGGCCAATCCACCTAACCTACACACCTTTGCATTGTGGGAGGAAACTGGAGCACCCGCTGGAAACCCACACAGACACGGGGAGAATGTGCAAACTCCACACAGACGGTTGCCAGAGGCTGGAATTGAACCTGGGTCCGTGGCGCTGTCCACCACAAGGTGGACCCCAAAGAGACCATTAAAAATAATGGGTAAGACCTGGTTCCAGAAGTGTTGCTGCTATTTAGAACAGATTTTATTTTGACAGTGGGTCAATGTGGGGTTTTGGGCAGGTGCGGGGAGATAGGATCAGAAAGTGACTCCAATTTGTGGACATCCCAGGTGAATGGACACCGTTTTTTTCTATTGACCTGCAGTGTGAGAGTGAATCTTTAATTACTCTTAAATGGTGAGTAACATCTATAGAACTGTCGAGCTGTCACGTTATTTAAACAGCCAACTGTCTGCCCCTGCAGTGTGGGAGTTGAGAAAAAGCTGCTATAGTAGTTTCGCTTGCTGTTTACCGTCAATACCTTAAGCATTATAATTACAGTGTTACCAATCATTGCCTCCTGCAACGATAGTTTGGGGTTTATAAGTTTACAGATGTACTGATAGCTCCAAATGGCTATGGAAGACTTTGCTGTCTATGATGTGGGGTTATGAATACAAATGTTTGTTTTTCTAAGGGATAAAATAGATGAAGTTTTAAAGGTAATGAACAGGCTTTCATAATGGAACAGGTTTTTATTAATTTAGAGAACTTTGTATTAGATATTTCAACTTTATTTTATTTAATTCCAATCTGGCTCGTGAACTCTGCGAATGATGGATACTGAGTGAGTTGGCGTGGAGAGTGTAAGGACAAAAGGTAGTGGCTTGGGGCTTGAGTTAGTACTAAGTCGGCATATGGTCTAAGGAGTTGCGGAGATGGTTGGAGGACATGGGTTGACATAGGGGGTATTAGGTGTTTAATTTTAAAAAATTGGGCTGAAATTGAGAGAATCAAGGTGAACAGGTTTTGAACATTTTGCCTTGGCAGCCTCTGTGGCCACCTCTGATGTATGTCTGGGGAAAGGCTAGGCTGACTCCATCCATATCTGACCCCCAGAATGAAAACTGCATCATTTGAAATACATTTTCCCCAGGCAAGTGAACTATGTTGGAAAATGTCCTGACTCGAAGTGCTAGTTAGGCCCAGTTGTCTATTATGCAGGTGCTCAATTGTTTTCTGAAAAAGGGTCCCGACCCGAAATGTCAGCTTTCCTGCTCCTCTGATGCTGCCTGGCCTGCTGTGTTCATCCAGCTCTACACCTTGTTATCTCAGACTCCAGCATCGGCAGTTCTTACTATCTCTATTGTTTTGATGCCTTGTTGCAGGCACTATTTAGCCACCCTCTGAAGTTGCCTAGGAAATCAATCCCTAAATGTCACCATTTGAATAATTATTTTCAAATGTTTGTTATAAAGTATCATTTGGCTCTGTCAGTGCTGACCTCCTGTAGCAATATGAAATGTTACGTACTCATGCTGTCTACATTCATGGTTTTTCACACTGGTCTGTGCTGTAGTAGCATCTCTCTCTGGCGTACGGCATGATCCATCACCAGCACCAGCACCAGCACCAGCACGCACCACTGCTATCGTTCCATGCAACTGGTTAGATATTCTTTGGGGATGCTAGAATCAAAAATAACTATCATCAAGAACAGTTCTGAATGAATGTTAATTGCTGTTAACACAATTGCAGTTAATAAGCAAATTAATTTGTCTTACTATTAGAACAGGATTTCCTTAAAAGTTGAATATTGTCGAGATTCAATAGCATGGAACCAATCCCTGTATTGGCTGTGGTGGTTCATTAAGACCTGTTGCCCGACCACACCATACACAACCAATTTTCTCTCTCTAAGGCAGAAAGGTGTCTATGGTCTTTTGTGAACTTTGGCTGCATACCATTCGACCCACTGCGTTCACACTTTAGTCCTACGAAGAGCATCCCACCCAGACTCACCCCTCTATCCTATGCCTGTAACCCTGCATTTCCCATGGCCAGTCCACCTAACCTGCACATGCTTAGACTGTGGGAGGAAATCCACACAAGGACAAGTAGGCTGTGCAAATTCCACAAAGACAGTCACCCAAGGCTGGGATCAAACCCACATCCCTGGCGCTGTGAGGCATGCAGTGCTAACCACTGAGCCATCATGCCCACCCAGTATGCATGACAATATCATATTCCTATAATGAGTATCACGTTGTTTTATCCATGCTATATAGTACTTTTGTGTGCATAGACTAATAATTCCAGCAACCTGGACGAATAGCACTGAGATGATGAACTGAACTCAAAGCTACAAATTTGGATTCAGTGTTTAAAATACTGGAAATGAAGTAAAAGTTAGTATCAATACTTAACATTTATATTCCTTTTGTTTTGTTCAAAAATATTAAAGAAAAGAATGATCAATGAACTTTAAATGAGCAGCTGATTGCCCTTTGAAGGTTTATCTTTGGTGAGGAAGTTCACTTTTGAAGAGTATTTTTAAAAAGTGACCACAAACTTTTTGGATTGTTAAAATCCCAGCTGTTTCAAAATTGTCCTTTAGCAAAGGTAACTTATTACAGTATCCTTAACCCATTCTGTACTATATTTAACTCCAACATGGCACTGCGCTTGACAATTAATACTTGATACTGGACACCTAATTACTGCCTTCAGAATAATAATCAGCCATTGACAAAAAAGTCCTAAACCAAAAGTAACCTATTATGCTTTCTGATACTTATAGTACAAAGCTATTTATTTCTGGCTGATTAATTGTTGTAATTTCTATACATTTTCTATTTCCTATATAAGTATAGTCATTGCCAGTAAAAATAATTGCATGAATTGCTGTCAGATGATTCAACGTGGTAGGCTTTCCAAGTGTAAATATGACTTATTAATTGTTGCCTCCCATTTATTAAAGGGTTAGCAATCTTGCGTGCTGAAACTAGGTGAGTGAACGGGCAGTTAAATTTCCCCTTGGAAGTTCCCACCGAAAACTAACTCTCTGAAGGCCCTATTTTTAACTGCCCACTAGAGCAGGTGGAGAAGTCACTGGGTAGAAAGCGGTAGGGTACTTCTTTAAAAATTTGTGTCAAGATTTTATGGGAACAAAATATCACAAATGGCAGGCTGGTGGCACAGTTCTTGGCCTAGAAACCAAAGGCTCCAGTTGATTCTCTGGAACTGTGAGCTCAAATCCCCCATGTCAGCTGATGGAAGTTAAATTCAATTAATAAATCCAGAATTGAAAGCAAATCTCCATGATGGTGATGATGAAACATTCATTTATTTAATGATTAAAAATCCATCTGGTTCACTAATGAAGTTAGGGAAGGAAATCAGCTGGCCTGCCCTATACGTGACCCCAGACCCACAGTAATAAGGTTGACTCCAGCCAATCATGCAGCTTGAAGTCAATTAAGTATGTCAATGCTGTCCACATCCCATGAAAGATGAAAGAAACAAAAAATCATTAGGGCCTAATTTAACAAATGGTCTATTATGGGTATCTTTTGTGCCTCTCCCATCACCAACAGAGGAGGTGATGGCCTAGTGGTATTATCACTGGACTATTAATCCAGAAACTCAGCTAATGAACCCAGGTTCAAATTCCATCACAGCAGATAATGGCATCTGTTGTGGTGGTGGCGTCTGTTGATTTCAATTCAATTCAGTTCAATTAAAAAGAAGCTGGAATTAAGAGTCTGACAATGACCATGAAATCATTGTCGATTGTCAGGGGGAAAAACCTCTCTGGGTCATTTCTGTCCTTCAGGGAATGAAATCTGCCATCCTTACCTGGTCTGGCCTACATGTGACTCCAGACCCACAGGAATGTTGTTGACTTTTAACTACCCTTTGGCCATTTAGGGATGGCCAATAAATGCTGGCCTAGCCAGAGATGCCCACATCCCTTGAGTGAGTTAAAAAAAAGGGTTTGTGTTGGAAGAAGCCCAAAATCTGTCTGTTTTACATTGATTTATTTTCCAGGAGAAACAGGAATATGCTTCTTAAATTCACCAGGTCAGTTTAGATCCTCTGTGCCTAGGATACCTTCTCTATGTCTTCTGATCATCACAATTTCCTGAACTTTCACCTGCTAATTAAAGGAATGCTGGGGTTGTTCCTTTGGTTCTTGATATTGGCCTCCTGTGACTTGACATTTCACAGGGGTCTATAGGCTTGCTACACTTCATGCTGGCTTTGGACAGGAGACTGCGACACGTGTGTAAAGGTTTACTAAGTCTCACACTGGGAAAATGTCAGCTTGAGACTGATGGCACCAATCTAGTCCCTCTGCTGCCTGACTCTCACCATCACATTAAATCTGGGTTTAAAAACCTGAGGTAGCTTGTGCTGGTTCTGTTTGGATTAGACAACAATTAGATAATTCCATACTTACCAAATCAAATAACGGTATCTCAGATAGATTATGAGAAACAGACCTTTTCGAAGCAGTGGGACTATCTAAAAGTGAAAATAGAAATGAGCAAATATTAAGACCTTGAAGAGAATTTTCACCTCATTGTCCAAAAATACAGAAATGTGCACTCAAACATGCCTGAAAATCCATTTGCTTCCCTTATTCTCATCTCTTATTCACTATCAGCTATGGTGCATTGACAGCACACTTGCTTCTGAGTTTGAAGGATTATGGTTCAAACTGCATTTTGGAGATATCAATGAAAAGACTGGACCAATGCCTAACTGCCACAATGAGGAATAATCGCTGTGCGTGTGTGTTTGCGTGTGTGTGTGTGTGTCATGGGGAGGGGAAGCAACAAGGTGCAATTGTCTTTGGAATAGTAAAATTTGACTTGATTGCTTTATCTGAACACCAGAATAGAGTGTCTAATACAGACCCCTGCAAGTTTAAGAAATTCACATCCAGGTGAACCTTGCAGCAATGACTGACATTTTAATTGAAAGCTCCATCTTGTATATTTACACACAATTTTAATCTTCATTTATGTGGGCAACATGCTCTGCATTAATAGTTAATATAACCGAGTGATTGTTCTGTTGTGTTCCAAATAAAACAATGAATGGAGCCATACAAATGTATAGTAATACACAAGGGATCGCAGTTTACTGACCGAATGTTGCTTGGGGTATTGCATGCTTTCTCATCAATGCTGAAAACATTCACAGATGTTCACAGCTACCTACAAATTTTGTGGATTTGTTTTTTATTTTCTCCCTTTCCTGAAGGTTGCCAAAACCTAAGGTTAAAAATACCCCCATTTTTCAGTCTGTATTTTGAAATAAAAATGTGCAGAAAGTGTGGTTGCTTTTGTCTGGCTATTAAGTGAAGTCGCTGTAGCAGGCAAGGTCTATGAATGCTGATAATCTTCTATATCACACAAGTGGGGTAGAATGTTTCTGTTTTTAAGAGTTTGTCAAGTGAAATTTGTTGTGCCTGGTCCATCATGACTTGCAGAGACTTTTCTCACACCTCTCCTCCTCTTAAGATCAGAAGAATCATGAGAAATAGGAGTGGTGTAGGCCATTTGGTCCCTAAAGCCTACCCTGCAATTCAATAAGATCATAACTGATCTGCTCAGTTCTCAACTCTTCTGTCTGCTCAGCTCCTCAGAATGCTCCACTCCTCATTATTTCAATGATCTGTTAACCCCCTCTTTAAATTCTTTCAGTGATCTAGCTTTCACAATCTTTGAATAGAGAATTCCAGACATTTACTACCCTCTGAGGGAAGAAATTCCTTCACCTCTCAATTTTAAATGAGTGTACCCCCCACCCTCCCATTCTGTTAATATGTGTGCCCTAGTTTGAGATTGCTGCACTAGTGGAAATATTTCTCAACATCTACCCTGTTGAGCCTCCTCAGAATCTTGTATGTTTCAATAAGATCACTCCTCATTCTTCTTAAACTCTAATGAATAAAGTCCTAAACTGTTTAGCTGTTCTTGATAAGTGAACTGTTTCATCCCTGGAACCAGCAAATGAATATCTTCAATGCCAGTCCATCCTTTCTTAAGTACGGAGACCAAATCTGTACACAATACTCCAGGTGTGGCCTCACCAACATCATGTACAGTTGTAGCAAGATTTCCCTATTTTTAAATCCAATCTCCTTGCAATAAAAGCCCAAATTCCCTTTTGCCTTCTTAACTGCCAGCCACATCTGAATGTACTTTTGTTTCTCATGCAGAAGAACACCCAGACCCTTCTGCACTGCACTTTTTTGGATTCTCTCTCCTTCTAAATGATTGTCTGCCTTTTGATCGCTTCTGATCAAAATGCATGACCTGACACTTTCCTCCATGAAACTCCATCTGCCAATTTTTTGCTCACTCACTCAATTTCTACATCCGCTTACAGATTCACCACATTAATACTGCAACTGGGCTTTAGGTGCCTTTCTTAGGAAATGGTCTGACTCAGGAAGCCAGGAGTGCCCTCCTCCATATGGACCTGACAGCATTCATGCCACTGACACCATATTTGAGGCTTAGCTGCACACCACTTCAGATGGTGAAAGCCAAGTACAACACCTCACACTGTGGCAGATGGGGTGGTGGACAGGAATTCTGTCTTTTTTCCAACTAACTGCCACAGGAAGCCACACCATCATCCCAAACAGCCTGGACAAAAATTGCAAGCCCAAATTGGAAGCTGCGTCCCAGGTGAAGTGGGTCCATCAGCAATGAGGAAGGTCAGTGATGTTCTACATTTCACACAGATAGGTGTCACCATTGACTCTTTGTTACATCACAGTCACTGGGTTCCATTCAACCCAGCTCTGCCATTGTACACATGTCACCAAAGCTCATAGACTACAACTCTCAGTATTGCATGCATCAAGTCCACTTGATTTCTCTCATCCATCACATCCCCCCAAACTACTAACCCTTCCATCTCTGTGCTTTCTACTCCATCATTAGGGACACTTTATTAACTCTCTTGCTTGTGCATTGCCGTTAATAGGCCAATGAAGTAAAAACTTCAGCCAGATGAATCAGTTGAAGTATGATTGCTACAATTGCATCTAGTATAGCATCCAAATTTAAGTTTTACTCAGTGTTCAAAGGGAAAAAATATCCAGCAACTTACTCCACTCACTTTGCATGCTACGTCAACCATTTTGTATTGACTTTCAATCTATGATGGCCAGGATCCAGTTTTGTTTCAGCATGAGTGACTTGCAGGTTCCACCTGTCACACACAAATTCCCCTCATTCCTTTCTTTGATATTACTATCCCTTTGGTCCCTATACTTTTCAGTTTCCACGCATCCCTCCCCCACCCGCCCCGCAACTTTTACATAATTGTTAATGAAATGTCCTTGTCTTTGTTGGCCCTGCCTCCTCCTTGTGACCTGTTTGAAACATCTCTACACTTTCTTGTGCTCGCAGTCCCCTACTATTAATTTTGAGGTCCCATTCTATCCCTGTCAACACTTGAACCCAGTTCAAGGAGGCCCAACCCTGAACTTGAGTTGCCTGCTTTTGCCAGAACTCCATGGACTGCCCTCTGACCATTATTGACCAAACCCTCAGAACTGACCACAGCCCATTTCCTGGACAGACTTGTCAGGACAACCCCAAGTAAACATGGTCCATGCCTGAACTGATTTCTCCATAACACCCTGACTGATCTACCTGTAATCACCCGATTGGTAATACTTGATCCAGGGAATTGACTGTGGCCCAATCCTTGGACTCCAAGGATATGGATGCCCATGTATCTGACCTGTGAGGTTCAGCATGAGACAACATTGTGGATATATCAAGCATTTATTTATGAAGTGGAACTTCCAATGCCCAAACTTGTCTCTTGCTAAAACTTGATGAGTTCAAGATGAAAATAATTAAATAAGTTTATATATTTTTCTAGATTATTCAGGACAACATGAAATAAGGCCATTGTAAAAATGAACAGAAAATGAATAAAAATATTTTCATGTACTCAAAGATTTACATTAATAGTTTAAAGTAAGCATCCATTAACTATTAAATACATTCAAGAATCAGTGTACCTTCTGTAAATGGCTTAAACTCTTGCTTAAGGCTCTGATGCTCTTGCATAGAACTGAATGAACAATCCAAACTTTGTTTCCTTTTAGTATTCAAGACTGATTCTGCAGGTGTGGCATTGTCTGACAAAGAACGGCTTCCTCTTGGATACACTTGACTTTGCCTAGCTCTGTCAAATTTCAAAAGGCAAGCACATACAAATCCATTACAGTACATACAAAAGAAAAACAATGCTATTACTATCAAATGTTGACAAAGTTTCTTCATGCTCTTCCCACATACTATTATAGAAAGACTGGGGTAATTAGCAATCAAATTTGCCTGGCTGCGTAGTAATGGGATTAGGTTGACCTATTATTGATCTATGCAATACACAATTGGACAGGATATAAAGTGGATGGCTAGTCTAATCTTGTTAGTTGTCACTGGGAATATGAAATTACATTAGCCCTCCTCAGTATGAATGTACTACAAAACAGAATATTCAGTGTATCAAGTCTGTATACGTTTGCGCTATTCTGTGAGCTATTTGTCTTTTCCACTGTTTGCCATGTTTCCATATCCTTTAAATTACCTTTATGACAACATGAAATGATATTATATAGTAATTATCTGATTGGCTTAACAGGCATTACAAATGGACTTTTCTTTAACAATGTTTTGTTTAGGAGAGTATTCCACATTCAAATAACTGCCTGTGTAAGCATTTTGTAACCTCCTCTTTCATTCTTATTTCTGATTATCTCTCCTTGCTACCATTTAAGTAATTGTAACAATGAGTCACGATTTATTCTCACATATCTCTGTGCACCAGAAGTATGCCTACTGCAGCAAACTGAAGTTGCGAGAGGGTGAGAAATTGGTTTGACTCCAATACTGAGCCAGCTGGTAGCTTAGCTTCTATGGAAACCTTGAGAAGCATGCTTCACCTGGCTCTGTGGAATTTTTCTGCAACTTTTTTTGCGCACTGTCTTAGCGACTATTTGTGGTCCCTTTAATGGACACATTTTGGGTGGTTCACTGTCCAGAAAATTAGGTTTTATATATCACTAGTCACTAAAAATTGGAAGAATGGAGGCACTTATCCATCCATGATAAGATTGCTCAAACTCAATACTAACAAACATGACAGCTCATGACATTCAGCCATTCCAAATGAGCCATATCATTCAGAAATGTTCTGTAATATATGAGTTGTTCTAATCCTTAGTGGCTACTGGATATACCTGAGTTCATAGGAGTTCATACCTGATGCAAGAACAAATTTAATTCATACTTTGTGTGAAGAAATAATTGTTTAGATTGCAATCTTTTTGTAGGAACATTATTCTTCAGACCATAAACACCACAGAGCTTTCGTAAACAGGAACTCATAAGAATATTTTGATATGACTAATGTAATAAGGACCATTCACTTTACTCACTCCAAGAAATATTTTAGCTTTCTCAGTTCTTGGTGAAGCAATTTGTTTTCTTCTTTCAATCCATTGATTTCATTTGCTGTGAAATGTTCAACCAGAAGCAAGTAAGATACAATACTATGAAAAACCAAGTAGAAAATGTTGCAATGGAGAGTTCTGGAGTTCTTACTGAGAATGGAAATATGTTGAAGGCTTTGGAGTTGAGAACTTTCAAATTCCTGTTGTTTTTTCCTGGCCAGTTCTTGGGTGACTGTACATCTGTCACACAGACCTGCACGTAACCTAATGTAAACCTTTGATTAGTGTGTTGTACAGATTTAAGGTACATGAAGGTCACATCTGTGCTAAGTACTCCAAGTATGATCGGACCAAGATCCCAAACAAGTATAACACAACATCATTATCTTTGAATGTATGCCCTTAGATGTAAATAACAGAATACCATTAGCATTTTATTTCCCTTGTTGGCTTACAATGCTGCTTTTAATGATCTGATCATCTACATTCCTATCCGGATTAGTTACTTATTTTCTAAAGTATAGATCATCTTCTTGTTTTTTGCCTAAGTGTATTATCTAAAATTTTATCTATATTAAAGTTCATCTTGGAACAATTGGAAGAAGATAAAGAGACATTTTCTCTCTGGGCATCATCCTCATTGTGTGAAGCTTGCCAAGCCTGGCTTCTGCCATGATCGCTGTATGGTGCAAGTTAAGGAGGCAGGCCCCAAGAATTACCTCAGTTGGTATAAGGATTCAATCTATGTTGTTGGCTTTATTCTGCGCCACACTCTAGCCATCTAGCCAAATGAGTTTACTTGTCCACAAAGATCTTATCAACAAATAATAACTGATCTGAATTAACATGAGTCTTGGCTTATATTGTACCAGCCACTTTTCTTTAAATCATATTAATTCACAGACCATTAGTTTTAATCCTAGTTTCAGCCACATGTGTCAGTAATCCATTATAGCCTTTGTTTGTTGGGTCAACGTTTATGATTTGTGTAACATGTTCTCTCGTCACACACTGAGTATAGCCTGATCTTCATCCAAACAGTACATGCACTATAAATCCTTCACATTTGATATAGTAGGTGATACTGTATGCTTCATATCTAGAAGTGAGAATGCAGAGAGTTTTTAATGCTGGGTTATTTTTGTGCTGAAGGCTGTGAGCATTGGCTCCAAAACACAAACAAACTATATTTTCTCAACTCACCTGACCTCTAAGTATGTTTAAACCAGAAATTCCTGTGCTGCAATCAACTACTTGGAATAAAAGGGCTCCACTTGATATGACTACACCCAGTTCAAAGGGAAGGGCTATTTACTTTCTCTAACAACTCAAAATGTTTGCTTGTGCTTGCTCATTAAAGCTAAATCACATTCCATTTGGTACTTGGAACAAATCGGGCTCGAAATAGTTTCCTTCAAAGCTGTACACAAAATGTTGCATAGCAACCAACTTCTTTTTTCAAAGAAAGGACGAGCAGTTTTTCATCTGTCCTTTCATCTAGGTATTGCTCCACATTGTGATCCATGGGCATAGTTGTGTTCTGGTCCCTCTTGTCTGGGACCAGAGAGTATCGGAAGGTGTCTGAACAATATAGGCATTACAACAAAGCCTGCAAAGTAAAAACTGCACCAATAACACCTAAAACCTGTACTTATGGAGCATCCTAACATGTAAAATTCCCTGAGATAATTCATTATGAAACAAAGCTTACTACTGACCCATTCATGAAGATATTTGGATCGGCAGCCAAAAGCTGGTAAAGAGGAAAATATTTTCAGGAGGGCAGGAAGGGGAGAAACAGGTCGAGCATCAAAAGGTCTGGTAGCATCTACGGATAGAGAAACAAGGCAATGTTTCAAGTTCAATATGACTTCGTTGGAACACTGCAGTCTGGAGCTTCCGAAGAGTCACTGGACTTGAAACATTAACTATGTTCCTCTCTCCCCAGATTATGTATATTTTGGGATATTTTTTGAAAGATTTCAATGCACCTTAGACACTTTAAAGCTTAAAGAGGTACCTGACAGTTCAGAAACAAATTAGAAAAAAAACCTAACATAATCTTCCTTTTTTTTTTAAAGTTCATCCTACCTGTTTTCCAAGTTCTTGACATTTTCATTCATTATCTTGTGCTGCTCCCTCAGTTGGTGGTTCTTGCTAAACAGCTCGTCCAATCTCTGTGCATCACTGTGTAACAAAATAATGCTGTTAGGCTTGATTTATGCATTAAGAGCATGATTTTGTTCAAGTACTTAAGCCATTGAAGATGTAAAGGTCAATTTGGGTTTTTACATGCGACATCAGGTTAGCACTTGTTCGTTGGAAGCACCGTCTAGGCAAAGGAATTGAAGTCAGCACCAATGATGGTCACCTGGTGAATCATTATTGATTTACAAATAAATTGTTGCGAATGCTCATAAAAGATGCTATTTTGGAGGATAACACTTCTTTTTATGATGTTTCCAATGAAAGGCCAGTAGAACAGGAGTAAATAATTCATTTCAGAGGATTTTGAGTGTGACTTTGAGATATAACACCTTTTTTACTGTTCACCATCAACTGGATGTTTGAACAGGACTTTTGAAACACATTGCAAGACTTTCTGGGCTACTTAAAGTCATAGTTTTAGAGTCATACAGCAAGGAATCAGAACCTTCGGTCCAACTAGTCCGTGCTGACCATAATCCCAAACTGAACTAGTCCCACCTGCCTGTGCTTGGCCCACATCCCTGCAAGCCTTTCCTGTTCATGTACTTATCCAAATGTCTTTTAAACATTGTAACTGTACCTGCATCCATCACTTTCTCTGGGAGTTCATTCCACACACGAACCACTCTCTGTGTTTTAAAAAAAAAGTTGCCCCTCATGTCTTTTTTAAATCTTTCTCCTCTCACCTTAAAAATATGCCTTCTTGTCTTGAAATCCCCCACCCTAGGGAAAGGACACCTGACATTCACCTCATCTATACTGCTCATGATTTTATAAACCTGTATGACATCACGCCTCATCCTCCTACGCTCCACTGAGAAAGGTCTCAGCCTTTCCAGTCTCTCCTTATAACTCAAGACTGCATCAACAGAACATTGACATTTATTCTGGAAGTTTTCTGAGGACTTCACCGAAAGAGAGTAAGTGGTTTGCTACCCTACCGTATTCATATCTGACAAGAGTAAGGGAGATCTCGGACTCTGATATCTGGTTAAGGGTTCCCCATGGTTTGCGAGAGGAATGGGAATAAGAAATGAGGACAGGCAGATCAGTATCAGCAGCTGCCAGGGACGGGGCAAGGAAGAGCAAGTCAATTAGCTGGAGGCTGCTTCTCCCCACCACGTATCCCCCCCAGGAAACAAGACATCCCTTCTCTTCTGGATTGTTTCCACCAGGATCTGCCACAGTGCTGTGCCTGAAAACCTTCATGCCCTTGGTTCCTCAGTCATACGGAAAGCTGTCATTGCACATATATTGAGAAATAGCAAGAACTGCAGATGCTGGAGTCAGAGACAACACAGTATGGAGCTGGAGGAACATAGCAGGCCAGGCAGCGTCAGAAGAGCAGGAAAGTTGAAGTTTCGGGTTGGAGCCTTCTTCAGAAATGGGGAGGGGGAAGGCAGCTCTGAAATAAATAGAGAGAGGAGGGGTGGGACTGGGGAAGGTAGGTGGGATGGTGATAAGTGAGTGTAGGTAGGGAGTGGTGGGGATTGGTCAGTGGCCTACATTTGTCTCCAGACCCACAGCAATGTGGTTGACTCTTAACTGCCCTCTGGGCAATTAGGGATGGGCAATAGACATTGGTCTAGCCAGTGACACCTTCATCCTGTGATTGAATTTTAAAAAATGCAAGAAACAGCAGTGTGTGTGCTCTCACACCAAACAGACTGCCCCAATTTTGTCCCATTTTAAGAAGGCCCTAGTCCAGCACCACCTGTTACAGTGTCAGTGATGCCCATGTTTTTTGACAAACTAAAATATCTTTTGAATGCTTAAACTTCAGGCATCTGATTGAATTTCTTCAGCAAATTCAAATTATGCTAATCAGCAATGAGGACCAAAATTGTGGGCTAAACTTGACTTTTGAATGGACAACTCTTAGTTGTGTAGCACCCATATACTGCCTGTTTTCAATTCTTTTCCAAAATAATGCCTTGAACATTCAATATATTGACATTTTATCTTCTATTATCATAATTCTAACAATGTTTTTTATATAAACAGAACATTCAATGGAAAATCAAGAGTTTGGAATTGATCCCACTCATAAAGAAGACTTGTACAACTTACATCTATGTGTGGGAAATCTAGCTGTGCAACTGGGTATACATAATAATAGCTTCACAAAAATGGATTCAACCTGAGTGCATTGGCTGATATGTAACCTTTCTTTGGTTTTAAGGGAAAACAAGCTATTTTCAAAAGAACTGAGATTCAAAAGAACCACAATACAAGCTAGTCCAAATCTCCAAATGAAGAAATTATCAACAAGATACCACTTTTTGTAGCTTTTACTTTAACATAAGTTATGCATGAACTATTAGCAAATGATACTTCAGATAAAAAGGTTGTATTTCCCATTCGATAGTCAATACAACAAAGATGTGTTTTATTAAAATACAAGCACTCACATACACAGAACTTTATGGTCAACCCACAGAGTATTTCCTGGAGCTCCTGTTTCCGTTTCTGTCCCACCTGCACCACGTGCCAGCAGTTTTGGTGGCAAACACACGACATATGCAGAAGCAAGCAGCCATGATTCAAAGTCTAAGGGAAGTAGTCCTAACTAATGTCCATCAACTGGCATGGAACATCAAGAGCAGATTCCTATAGTAGTCAAGAGGATTGGCACAGTCAGGTCTCGAGGTGTTTGCAATCAGGGCCCCATGCCTCTACAGGCCAGGGAGTTGGTCCTAACCAGTCTATTGGCTCTAAAGCAGCAAGTCCAGAGATAACACAGTTGGGGAGATATATATCAACAGTCAGGGATCAGTGCACATCTCAGTCACGGTTGTCTGAACAAGTCAGGCAAGGGGGTGGGTCACAGTAGGTTCATTGGATCCATTCACAGAAACTAAGGGGGAGTGGGAGGAAGGTATATCCATTGTAGTGGGACTGAGCCTCAGCAATATGGTTGTTGAGATTGGAGGCTGCAGGCTCTGGGCAATGGGTCCTGTAACATTGTGAAATGGGAGGGGGACGGATTGTGTCAGCAGGATTTTCTGGGGGGGGTACAGTAAAGCATGGGTGGGAGGGGCTGTCTTGTTGCACGGGGTTGTCCAAGGTCAGGAACATTCTGGCTACAAGGGAGAGTAGTGAATGACTGTACCTGTAGTAGTCACCTCAAATGCCAGGGCTGAGCAGGGAAGGTATGCAGATGGAGACAAATGTAGATGGTTGGGTGGGGTCTTGGGGAAGTGTGAACCCTGTGGGGGTTGACAGAATGGGCTACTGGGAAAGGGATGTGGATATTTGGGAGCTAACTGATATGTTCAGGCTGAGGCTGGAAGGCATTGGCAGAGGAGCACTCACTGTCAATTGTGTTCCAAATCAAAAGGGGAAGGAAATGGTTGTGACCATACTTGGAGTAGGCAGAGTGAGTGAATTAACCTATGAGGGAGAGAGCTGCAGCAAACATCAATCATAGGTGTTTTAAACAGAAATATTATTGGTCACATGCCATGTACAGCACACAGGATGCCTACTCCCCGGCCATCCCACAGCATTGAGCCCGTCTGTATGTTGTACATCCCTGGCACAGCCAATGGTTGACAATTCGTTGACATCTACACCTTTGCACACAGAGGGAGCCAAACACTACGGATGCTAAATGAGGAGGGACAAAGGTCTCGTTAGCTAATGCCACAGGTATACATTCTATCCCCTCCTGCCAGATTGTGCAATAGGCTCTCAGCACAGCTGCCCATCCATGGAGCTTCATCTCTGGCTTTCAAATGTTAGAGAGAGTGATACGGTTTTTACAGCAAGGATCAATGGCCTTCATCCATCATATCCACATTGGTCATCCAGCATCTAGCTATTCTAAGTCCTCTTTCCAGCAGTTGGCCTGTAGCCTTATATGCTATAGCATTTCAAGTGCTCATCTAAATATTTCTTAAATATCTTGAATGCTACTGCCTCTAACACACTTTTAGGCAATGACTTCTGGATTCCCACCACTTTCTGGGTGAGAAACAATTCCTTCAAAACCTCTTGCTCCTTCTCTAAAAACGGTGCTTCCTGGTTATTGTACCCTGCCATTATGCCTTTCTGTTCAAACTCTGTCCATTAACAGGCAGGACATCTTTGAATGCTAGAGCTTGTCCAGGTGAACAATGGGCTTTTAAAGAGGATGCAGGGTCAAAGGAAGACAGTCTATGGGCAGATAACCACTGAGTGGCAAGTTGTTGTAGGAAGAGCATGCAGAAGGATGGGGTACAAGTCAATGGGAGTGATGCCATAGGGACTGGTATAGACTTCGCCAACAAAAAAATCAGATTCAGAAAGCCAAGAGAGCAGCAGGATTAATTTTGGATTATTTTAACATAGTGTCAACACAGGTATGGGGGGTCAAAACACCTCCTTCTCTTCTAAGTTTATTAGTTCTGTATAACTCACTGCAGAAAAATGTAATGGTATATTTTGAGATCAAGATAAGGACAGAAAAGGATCACCAAGAGCCAAGATACAAGTTTTAAGTCAGAACATATAAGAGACGAACAGAATTTTTACCTTTGCATCTAGAGGCATGAATAGGGTCACAAAGCTGTAAACTCTAAATTAGAGCTACCTGTGGTAATACCAGATTTCCAGTATTGTGTACAGACAAGTAATGAAGGACACAGGAGCAAAGGAAAAGGTGCACTAAATTCACTGGAATATTACTGGGGTGATAGATCATCGTTCTGTAAAGAAATAAAGGAGTAACCTGATTGAACGTTCGAGATTAAGAATGGTAATTAATCGGAGATTTTGTTTGACTGGTCAATGGGTTGTGAATAAGAAGGCACAAATACTGGATGATCATCAATAGCATTAGGATTATATGAAGGAAGAGAGAAAAGTGCAATTAGAAACAGAACATGCTGTACTCACAGACATCGCTCCATGTTTATTTCAGTTAGTTTTGTGTACAGTCCTAAACAGTAAAGGTAAAAGGTTAACTCAGAGAAAAAACAAACTTTAGAAACAATCTAATCATTGTTAGCATTCTCAAGTAGCTTTCCTGAAAGAATGTGACTGTTCAATGTTAGAATAAATTTTGCAAAGATGCATTCTTGCCAAAAATGTCAAGTGAAGATAAAAGACAACTCTATATTAACATTTCATATTTAACAGTGGCTTTGTAAAGTGAATCTATTCACAATGTAAAGGATTGCATGGAACAGCTAACTTTTTTTATACTTTCTGTACCTTGTACTTCTTGGTCATGCAGTTCCTTGAGCTTTGCCCAGACATCTGTAAAGTTCTCCATTGTCATTTCTCACTCCACTGAAGTGATTAGGCTGAGCTTTGGCTCCAGCTACGTAGGTTAAAAAAAAACAATGTTCAAACAAGGAGCATTTTATTGTTCTTATAATAACAACCTTTAACATAACAAAACATCTCGCAGGAATGAGCTTCATAGGAGTGGAATCGGCAGAAAATTGACATAGAGAAGAATGTAAAAGAGTTGGGGATTTGCCTTACTGATTAGGGAGAATATCAGAGCTGTACTGAGAGAGGACACTTTGGAAGGCTCATCCAGTGAGGCCAGAAAGGTAGAGCTCAGGAATAGGAAGGGTGCAATCACTTTGATGGGATTGTACTACAGGCCACCCAGCGGCCAGTGGGTGATAGAGGAACAGATATGCAGACATGGAAAAATGTGAAAACAACAGAGTTGTTGTGTTGGGTGATTTTTAACTTGCCCGAATTGACTGGATTCACTTATTGCCAGGGGCTTGGATGGGGGAATTTGTTAGGTGAGTCCAAGACAGTTTTTTGAAACAATATGGAAATAGTTCAGCTAAGGGAGGGGTTAAACTAAACGTGGGGTACTGGGAATGAGCCGGCCAGGTGATCAAACTTTCAGAGGGGTATCATTTCAGGAACAGCGACCATAATTCTGTAAGTTTTAAGTTACTTATGGAAAAGGATTAGAAAAGTCCTCAGGTGGAAGTACTAAATTGGGGGAAGGCTAACTAGTACAGTATTAGGCAGGAACTCGGGAATATAGATTGGGGGCAGCTGTTTGAGGGTAAATCCACATTTGGCATATGGGAATTATTATAAGGATAGTTGATTAGAGTCCAGGACCAGCATGTTCCTGTGAAAATGAAGGATAAGGATGGCAAGATTAAGAAACCTTGTATGTCAAGAGAAATTGAGCACTAAGTCAAAAAGGAAAATGAAAAGCATATAGTTTAGAATCTAAAGACAGACAGAGCCCTCAAGGAATACAAAAATAGCAGGAAAGAACTCAAATAAATAATTAGAAAGGCTAAAAGGGGCTATGAAATGTCTTTGGCAAACAGAATTAAGGAAAATTTTTATACATATATAAGGATCAAGAGGGTGGCTAAGGAAAGAGTAGGTCCACTTGAGGACAAAGGAGGGAATCTATGTGTGCAGCCAGAGGAAGTGGGTAAGGTCCTTAAGGAATATTTGCATCGGTATTCACAAAAGCAGACATGGTGGATGGTGGGTCTCAGGAAGGATATGTTTATATTCTCAGGCATGTTGACATAAGAAAAGAGATGGTGTTGTTTTAAAAAGCGTTAAAGCATACAAGTCCCCAGGATGTGATGGGATCTACCCCAGATTGCTGAGGGAGGCAGGTCAGGAAATTGCTGGGGCCTTGAACGATATCTTTGTATCCTTTTTAGTCACAGGAGAGGTCCAGAGGACTGGAGAATAGCCAGTGTTGTTCTTTTGTTTAAGAAGGGCAATTGGGATAATCTGGGAAATTATAGGCCAGTGAGCCTTATGTCAGTGGTAGGGAAATCATTGGAGAAGATCCTTAAGGATAGGATTTACTCACATTTGGAAATATGTGGACTTATTAGTGGTAGACAACATGGCTTTGTGTGGGAGAGATCATGTCTCACAAACTTGATTTGAGTTTTTTGAAGAAGTGTCAACAATGATTGATGAAGACAGGGCAGTGGATTTGTCTTTGTCGACTTTACTAAAGACTTCGACAAGGTGCCTCATGGCAGGCTGATACAAAAGGTATAGTCACATGGGATCCATAGTGAGTTGGTAAGATGGATACAAAACTGGCTTGGTCATAGAAGACAGAGAATAGCAGTGTGAGGGTGCTTTTCTGATTAGAGACCTGTGACCACTGGTGTTCTACAGGGTTCAGTGCTGGGACCCCTGTTGTTTGTAATATATAGAAATGATTTGGAGGAGAATGTAGCTGACATGATTAGTAAGTTTGTGAATGCTACGAAGATTGGGGAGCTGTGGATAGTGAGGAGGATTGCCAGAGGATACAGCAGGATAGACATAGGCTGTAGACTTGGGCAGAGGAGTGGCAGATGGGATTTAATCTGGACAAATATGAAGTGATGCATTTTGGTAGATCTAGTGCAGGAAGGAAGTATACATTAAATGGCAGAACCCTTAGTTGCATCAACATACAGAGGCATCTAGGCCTACAGGTCCTCAGTTCCCTGAAAGTGCAAGACAAGAGGATAAAGTGCTCAAGAAGGCATATAGCTTGCTTGCCTTGATCGGTCAGGGCATTGAGTATAAAAATTGTTAAGCCATGTTGCAGCTATACAGAACTTTAGTTATGCCACATTTGGAATATTGTGTTCAGTTCTGGTTGTCACACAACCAGAAGGATGTGGAGACTTTAGAGAGGGCACAAAAAGGTTTATCGGGATGTTGCCTGTTTTGGTGGGTACCAGCCATGAGGACGGATTGGACAAACTTGGTTTGTTCTCAGTTGAACATCAAAGAATGAGGGATAACCTGACAGAAGTTTACAAAATTATGACAGGAAAGGATAGAATGGATACTTGGAGTCTTCTTCCCAGGGTAGAAATGTCAATTACCAGGGGACATAAGTTTAAGGTAAAAAGGGGTAAGTTTAAAGGAGATGTGAGAGGCAAGGTTTTTTCCGCAGAGGGTTGTAAGTTCCTGGAATGTGCAATTTTTAAAAAATTTTGAATTAAGAGTCTAATGATGACCATGATTATTGGAAAAATAATCTGGTTCACTTATGCCCTTTAGGGAAGAAAATTGCTGTCCTCACCCAGTCTGTCTTACACATAACTCCAGGCCCATAGCAACGTGTCTGACTCTCCTTGTCCTCAGGGCATTTCGGGATGAGCAGTAAATAATGCCCCTGTTTGATGGATGAATATAGAAAATGAACTGGAGACTTGGCAGCTGTTCAGCCCTAGGCAAGAGAGGACTCCAAGGTGGCCTCAACTAAGAACTTCACAGAAATGCAGAAACAGACACATGTTTGGCAGATAGGTTTGTTAGAAGCACTGAGCAAACTGACTGAAGGCTGGAGCGCTCCAACAACATTGTTTACATTGTGCTGCCTGTGACATGTGAATGTCTGGCTGCCTCATCGACAGGATGGCAGCTGGCATGGAGATCTAAGTCCAACATTTCTGGTGCCTGCTGGATAAAAAAAAGACTTGCATTCTATTGCTAGCACCAATGGCAAGGCAAATGATGGATGAGGAACTTTGGCCTCATGCCAGGTGCCCCTTTCTCACTAAGAGACAGGTGGTGCTGGGAGACATTCAGTTGGAGGAGGAATTACAAGCAGGTCCCCACCCCAACCCCACACACCCACCCCCCAACCCCGCCCCACGCCACCCCCCCCACCTCCCTCCCCCACAACCGCCCACAGCAGAAGTCACCTCTCAGGAGACTCTAGAGGTGGCAGGGCCTTCCACTTCCATTCCAACTGCTACCCTCAGCCCTGAGGGAGTTCATGCCGAGGAGGAGAGTGCTCCTACCTCTAGGATGTTGACATTTAGCATGCCTGGGCCCTCTAGACACAAATGTCCATGTGGTTGCCCAAACAAAACTCCAAGGCTACCAGGCTTCACTGTAGGGCAGGCTCCCGCCAATCCAACTGCAGAGGCCAGGTCTGTGTGGGACATAATGAGTTTGAAAGGAAGAAGACTGCCATCTGAAGACGTCCATAAAAACTCTCCTAGCTTGAAAACTCCACAAACTAGAAACCACTTCTGCTGGGTTTTGACTGCTTCCCACGAACTGTCTTAATTTTCCTGCTGGGAGAAAATTAAAACTTGCTTCTGAACTCAACCCCTGATTCTTCCGAGCTGAGATCATAACCTTCTATTATGAAATCAAAACAAGACTAATTTGCCTTTACATGTTTATCTACCATAAACCCAACAGTATAAATATTTTATCCATTAATGCCACAGTGCGTTGCTAGGCAGTTAACTGAAGTCTTATGCTTTCTTAGGAACGATGTGTCGAGGTCACTGACCAAATGACTTCCTGAATGCATTAAAAGAATTACCTTCACGGCATTAATCAAAACCCAACCATCCCTCTTCTATTTTTAGAAGTCCAAATTCAAAATTTCTAATAACATACATTTATGACAAAGAAAGCAGGCACAGATGGGGCAGCCACTGAAGGTGAATAGATTTCTGAAACAGTTAGGGTACCATTGGCAGAGTTTAGTCTAGACTGCTTTGGAATTGTTGAACTGAGAGGTTACAACGTACATAGCAGGGCATCTCAGCAGTGATGATGTTGAAGCAGAGTGATGCTAGGTTATGATATAAAGATGGAAGTTGGTTATCTTGGTGATGGAGAGGATATGAGTTTTAAAGCTAAGCTCAGCATCAAAGTGCTATTGTTAAAGCTGTTTACTGATGGTGTTTATGGTCGCACTCTAAGAATGAATAACCACACATTCCTCCAACTAAGAATGTGATTAGTATTCAAACAATCCCACAATTTGATGGGAAAATAATTATCTTTCAGCAATTTTAATTCCCTCTGCAATCCTCCACATGTAGATAAAATGCATTTTGTTAACTGTTTATTTTAAATAGATTAATATTTGGAATAAAATTGGTGGCAGAAATTTATATATTTACTTTAATAGACACAAAAATAACACCCAGAATGTATGAAGGCCATAAATTATTTTACTGAACTGAAACATTACTGCAATCGATATAACTAATGGTTTTTGGATTCCGTCCTAAAGAGATTTGAATAATTAACTACTCCAACAGAATGGCAAAAGTTCATGTTAGTAAATGGTGTTCCTAAGGGCTGAAACTATTTCATCAGTTGGATTATTATTTATTGCATAAATTGAGAAATCGATAGTTAATAGAAAGATATTTTTTATTTTTTATTTTTTCTTTCATGGGATGAGAGTCTGTCTTGAGAGGTGAACATTTGTTCCCCATTCCCAATTGCCCTTGACTGAGTGGCTTGTCAGGTCATTTCAAACAGCAGCTAAGAGTTCACATTAGGGTCCAAAGTCATATTTAGGCCAAACCAGGTGAGAAAGGT